ATAAAAAAAACAAAAAGGGGAGTGATTAGTAAAATATGCATAAATAAAAAGAAATAATGCTAACTAGGTAACATAAGGTAATAATAAACCAGTTTAAATGATTTGTTATTGGTTGTGAACTTGTGATCATATTCTAAATATGTTTGGATTATTGAAAAGTATACAGCTCCCAGTATACAGTGTTGAGAGCTGTATCCATAAATTCATTTTGTGCTCTAAGTGCACCAGATTGATGCATTTCACTTCAACATTTAAAACTTATCTTCCCGGGGCTGCATGCCCCCGGACCCCAGAGAAGGTGAGCCCCCCCCCCCAAATAAAGCAGGTTAAAATAACTAAATTGAATACATTTTCTTTTAGCAAGCGATAGAATTACTAACAAATAATTGCTAACAAAGCATATAAAAGTGGATAAAAGCGTCAGCTAAATGTAATGTAATGTAATAAACACTGAAAACGGGGCCCACAGACCCAAACAGCACACAAAGGTTAAAGGTAAGCATATAATAATGTTAAAATGCTAAATGTATACACTGCAAAAGTAAAATTCTCAAATAGACATATCATGTTCAAACTGTATTCTCTGTGTCATTTTCCATAGTTTGATACATTACAAGTTAGAGGGAAACCGGCAACAGGCGGCAATAATTAAAACAAAGCCTTATTTTTGTTAATCGTCTTTTTTTATTTAATTTGTATTTATTCTATTTTTATCTTTTTATTTACCTGAATTTAAAAGTATTTTTTCAATATTTTATTTTATTATTTATTTTTGTGTTCGTGTGCCAAACGTTTTACCCTTCATTAGTTTACTGCCTTTCAAGTACAAATGTGTTTCTTCTTCTCTGGTGGATTACGTGTGATAGGTTTGGGAAGATTATGTGTCAGAAAGGACTTATTTCATTTATATTTACGGGGAGTCTTATTATCTTATTTTAACAGAATACGCCTATATTGCAATATCACCAGCTGCAGCCGCAGCCAGACGGTACACGACACGCCCCATTGATACCGTACATGGCAGATTCAAAACGATCTGCTAATGTTATTGTAGCATTTTAAGCAACTATTAAGCAAATAAATTAATAACTATTTGAGACAGAACAGTATATGACTTTCAGCACAAATCATTTTGTCTAATTAATACATTAAAACAAAAAGGTGGCTTAGTAAACTTTATTTTTATGTTTTAGTACATAAAATAGGTATTAATGAGATCATCTATTAATTATTGTTAGGGTTAGGGCTTTGGGGAACGGAGCGCAGCGTGGTGTACGGGCTCTCGGGTAAATATTTGTTGTTTAAAAACCTATTTAAAAACTCCTGTAATAAAACCAATAAGGTTTATAAAAGCCCTGTTTGGTCTGTGTTACATTTATTTAAATGAAATAAAGAAAATGCAATAAAAGGGATAAAAGAGAGCAGCGGCTGAAGCACAGAGCGTGTGTGGCGGGGTTAAAACCTGTACTCCTGCCCCCGAGGGGGTCTCCCCCGGTGAGGTGTCCGAGGCTGTGTCCCACAACATCTGGTAAAAGACCTGGTAAGTGGGTTAAAAACATCTGGCTAAAAGTACCGAGGTTGACTTTGTTTAAAAACGGCTTGCAGGTAAAATGTGTGTGAAAAAATAAATGATAAATAAATACATAAAAGTGCTTAGTAAAATAAGTGCTTGTCACATCAACCCAAATATTAAAATATGTCAAATATAAAACAAATATGTAAAATATAAAATATAAAATACACCCGGGTTAGTAGGCGCACGGGGAGGGAAAGTATTTTAAAATAAAGTCAACCAAGTGTCCCTAAAAGTGCTTAAAACCCAGGCCGAGGTCTATGTGGTGCAGGTGAGACATGGGACACGCCTCGGATGATGTTTAAAAATACTTTATTAATGGGCTTATTTCAGGGTGTTTCTGTGCGGGAGGCTCCAACATCCATTTAAAATACAATGGAAAGTAATAACTAAAATATAAATAAAATAATATAAACAATGTTTAAATAGCAAACAGGGGATTAATAATAAATAGGATAACATATATAACCTCCTCATTTGGAACCTAATCAAATAAGAAAACATGCAATAGGCGGGGGCCATGTCTCTCCTGCCTGTGTCAGTATAAATTAGAAGTTTCTTTTGGCTTTCAGACACACTTCATGGGTTTCTTTAATTCCTGGTGTTTCTGCAGAACCTCTCACATCACTCCTGTCCGCTGACACAGAAACAACCTCAGCTGCTGGGTCATTATTTAGATTTTACTCAACAGAAGGGTGAGTTTTCTTTGTTGTCTCTTTTCAGTTTTATTCTTCTTATTGTAAAAAGTGTTAATTTCTCAGCTATGGAGTTTATATGACTTTTTTATTAATCAATGTATTGAACAAGTTAGAAACAAAACAAACAGCAATAATAATAATTACAATAATTATTATAATAATAATAATAATAATAATAATAATAATAATAACAATAATAATAATAATAATAATAATAATTATAACAGAGAGTAGCGAAGATAAAAAAAACGTTGAAGGTATAAAAACAAAAATTCTCAAATATTCATATCATGTTCAAACTTTATTCTCTGTGTCATTTTCCATAGTTTGATACATTACAAGTTAGAGGGAAACCGGCAACAGGCGGCAATAATTAAAATATAGCCTTATTTTTGTTAATTGTCTTTTTTTATTTAATTTGTATTTATTCTATTTTTATCTTTTTATTTACCTGAATTTAAAAGTATTTTTTCAATATTTTATTTTATTATTTCTTTTTGTGTTCGTGTGCCAAACGTTTTACCCTTTATTAGTTTACTGCCTTTCAAGTACAAATGTGTTTCTTCTTCTCTGGTGGATTACGTGTGATAGGTTTGGGAAGATTATGTGTCAGAAAGGACTTATTTCATTTATATTTACGGGGAGTCTTATTATCTTATTTTAACAGAATACGCCTATATTGCAATATCACCAGCTGCAGCCGCAGCCAGACGGTACACGACACGCCCCATTGATACCGTACATGGCAGATTCAAAACGATCTGCTAATGTTATTGTAGCATTTTAAGCAACTATTAAGCAAATAAATTAATAACTATTTGAGACAGAACAGTATATGACTTTCAGCACAAATCATTTTGTCTAATTAATACATTAAAACAAAAAGGTGGCTTAGTAAACTTTATTTTTATGTTTTAGTACATAAAATAGGTATTAATGAGATCATCTATTAATTATTGTTAGGGTTAGGGCTTTGGGGAACGGAGCGCAGCGTGGTGTACGGGCTCTCGGGTAAATATTTGTTGTTTAAAAACCTATTTAAAAACTCCTGTAATAAAACCAATAAGGTTTATAAAAGCCCTGTTTGGTCTGTGTTACATTTATTTAAATGAAATAAAGAAAATGCAATAAAAGGGATAAAAGAGAGCAGCGGCTGAAGCACAGAGCGTGTGTGGCGGGGTTAAAACCTGTACTCCTGCCCCCGAGGGGGTCTCCCCCGGTGAGGTGTCCGAGGCTGTGTCCCACAACATCTGGTAAAAGACCTGGTAAGTGGGTTAAAAACATCTGGCTAAAAGTACCGAGGTTGACTTTGTTTAAAAACGGCTTGCAGGTAAAATGTGTGTGAAAAAATAAATGATAAATAAATACATAAAAGTGCTTAGTAAAATAAGTGCTTGTCACATCAACCCAAATATTAAAATATAAAATATAAAATACACCCGGGTTAGTAGGCGCACGGGGAGGGAAAGTATTTTAAAATAAAGTCAACCAAGTGTCCCTAAAAGTGCTTAAAACCCAGGCCGAGGTCTATGTGGTGCAGGTGAGACATGGGACACGCCTCGGATGATGTTTAAAAATACTTTATTAATGGGCTTATTTCAGGGTGTTTCAGTGCGGGAGGCTCCAACATCCATTTAAAATACAATGGAAAGTAATAACTAAAATATAAATAAAATAATATAAACAATGTTTAAATAGCAAACAGGGGATTAATAATAAATAGGATAACATATATAACCTCCTCATTTGGAACCTAATCAAATAAGAAAACATGCAATAGGCGGGGGCCATGTCTCTCCTGCCTGTGTCAGTATAAATTAGAAGTTTCTTTTGGCTTTCAGACACACTTCATGGGTTTCTTTAATTCCTGGTGTTTCTGCAGAACCTCTCACATCACTCCTGTCCGCTGACACAGAAACAACCTCTGCTGCTGGGTCATTATTTAGATTTTACTCAACAGAAGGGTGAGTTTTCTTTGTTGTCTCTTTTCAGTTTTATTCTTCTTATTGTAAAAAGTGTTAATTTCTCAGCTATGGAGTTTATATGACTTTTTTATTAATCAATGTATTGAACAAGTTAGAAACAAAACAAACAGCAATAATAATAATTACAATAATTATTATAATAATAATAATAATAATAATAATAATAATAATAATAACAATAATAATAATAATAATAATAATAATAATTATAACAGAGAGTAGCGAAGATAAAAAAAACGTTGAAGGTTTAAAAACAAAAATTCTCAAATATTCATATCATGTTCAAACTTTATTCTCTGTGTCATTTTCCATAGTTTGATACATTACAAGTTAGAGGGAAACCGGCAACAGGCGGCAATAATTAAAATATAGCCTTATTTTTGTTAATTGTCTTTTTTTATTTAATTTGTATTTATTCTATTTTTATCTTTTTATTTACCTGAATTTAAAAGTATTTTTTCAATATTTTATTTTATTATTTCTTTTTGTGTTCGTGTGCCAAACGTTTTACCCTTTATTAGTTTACTGCCTTTCAAGTACAAATGTGTTTCTTCTTCTCTGGTGGATTACGTGTGATAGGTTTGGGAAGATTATGTGTCAGAAAGGACTTATTTCATTTATATTTACGGGGAGTCTTATTATCTTATTTTAACAGAATACGCCTATATTGCAATATCACCAGCTGCAGCCGCAGCCAGACGGTACACGACACGCCCCATTGATACCGTACATGGCAGATTCAAAACGATCTGCTAATGTTATTGTAGCATTTTAAGCAACTATTAAGCAAATAAATTAATAACTATTTGAGACAGAACAGTATATGACTTTCAGCACAAATCATTTTGTCTAATTAATACATTAAAACAAAAAGGTGGCTTAGTAAACTTTATTTTTATGTTTTAGTACATAAAATAGGTATTAATGAGATCATCTATTAATTATTGTTAGGGTTAGGGCTTTGGGGAACGGAGCGCAGCGTGGTGTACGGGCTCTCGGGTAAATATTTGTTGTTTAAAAACCTATTTAAAAACTCCTGTAATAAAACCAATAAGGTTTATAAAAGCCCTGTTTGGTCTGTGTTACATTTATTTAAATGAAATAAAGAAAATGCAATAAAAGGGATAAAAGAGAGCAGCGGCTGAAGCACAGAGCGTGTGTGGCGGGGTTAAAACCTGTACTCCTGCCCCCGAGGGGGGTCTTCCCCGGTGAGGTGTCCGAGGCTGTGTCCCACAACATCTGGTAAAAGACCTGGTAAGTGGGTTAAAAACATCTGGCTAAAAGTACCGAGGTTGACTTTGTTTAAAAACGGCTTGCAGGTAAAATGTGTGTGAAAAAATAAATGATAAATAAATACATAAAAGTGCTTAGTAAAATAAGTGCTTGTCACATCAACCCAAATATTAAAATATAAATATAAAAAAAATACACCCGGGTTAGTAGGCGCACGGGGAGGGAAAGTATTTTAAAATAAAGTCAACCAAGTGTCCCTAAAAGTGCTTAAAACCCAGGCCGAGGTCTATGTGGTGCAGGTGAGACATGGGACACGCCTCGGATGATGTTTAAAAATACTTTATTAATGGGCTTATTTCAGGGTGTTTCAGTGCGGGAGGCTCCAACATCCATTTAAAATACAATGGAAAGTAATAACTAAAATATAAATAAAATAATATAAACAATGTTTAAATAGCAAACAGGGGATTAATAATAAATAGGATAACATATATAACCTCCTCATTTGGAACCTAATCAAATAAGAAAACATGCAATAGGCGGGGGCCATGTCTCTCCTGCCTGTGTCAGTATAAATTAGAAGTTTCTTTTGGCTTTCAGACACACTTCATGGGTTTCTTTAATTCCTGGTGTTTCTGCAGAACCTCTCACATCACTCCTGTCCGCTGACACAGAAACAACCTCTGCTGCTGGGTCATTATTTAGATTTTACTCAACAGAAGGGTGAGTTTTCTTTGTTGTCTCTTTTCAGTTTTATTCTTCTTATTGTAAAAAGTGTTAATTTCTCAGCTATGGAGTTTATATGACTTTTTTATTAATCAATGTATTGAACAAGTTAGAAACAAAACAAACAGCAATAATAATAATTACAATAATAATTATAATTATAATAATAATAATAACAGAGAAGATTAAAAAAACCTTGAAGGTATAAAAACAAAAATTCTCAAATATTCATATCATGTTCAAACTTTATTCTCTGTGTCATTTTCCATAGTTTGATACATTACAAATTAGAGGGAAACCGGCTGCAACAGGCGGCAATAATTAAAACATAGTCTTATATTTACATGTTAATTATATTTTTTTATTGAATTTTTATTTATTTAATTTTTATTTTCGTATTTACCTGAATTTAAAAGTATTTTTTAAATATTTAATTTTATTGTTTATTTTGTTGTGTTCGTGTGCCAACAGTTTTACCCTTAATTAGTTTACTGCCTTTCAAGTACAAATGTGTTTCTTCTTCTCTGGTGGATTACGTGTGATAGGTTTGGGAAGATTACAGTATGTGTCAGAAAGTCGGGTGACTTCTATTTTCTTATTATCTTATCTTAACAGATACATATTGCAATATCACCAGCTGCAGCCGCAGCAAGACGGTACACGACACGCCCCCTATAAAATATGCTCACTTGACACAACACTACGGTGGCTGAGAGACATTGATAGCGTACATGGCAGATTAAAAACGAATTGCAAATGTTATTGTAGCATTTTACAGTTAAGCCCCATGCCCCCGGTACCGGGGGAAAAACGCAACATCTTGCAAGAAACAGCGTCTGACGGCTTCTTAACATTTAACAAACTATGAATGTGTCATACCCACTTAACGGGAAGAAACTCAGCTATCGGACAATATTAACAATTTGGACCGAAACAAAACACAACTCTAACGCAGAGCCTCTGAATTAGCCCTGAGCGAAAAAAAATGCTAACGCACTTAGCACAGAATGCACGGTATAAATACCTTATTACTTATCGGATCTGCACAACCAAGATATCACATGAGAGCTGATATTCCACAGATTATAGCGGTATAAGTATCATCACTGTATCATCACTGTGTCATCAAAACTCGCGGCAGGGGAAGAAAACCCAGACAACACACAACGTATAGCTTTACGGAGCAAAAACAGCAAATATGTCTTCCCTTAGCTGTTTCAGATCAAAAGTTGTGTTCAATGGCATTACAACGATAAACCCGCTGCTGAAGGTTAATCCAATGTGTCTGTGTCACTTTGAAATGATTACTGATAATCCATCATCATATTTATGTCAATAATGGAGTTTTCATAGCTGCTATAGCTAGAGTGTCTGACAGCTTCCGGTTTTGGGCATTCTGGCTACGCATCACTCATTCACCAATGGGTAATGTTTTGATGGATTTTAGGAACTTCCCCTCGATTATATTGGCTCTAACGGTTCAAAAGAGGTGTCAATCATCAAAATCGACCGATGGGTTCCGGAGATATGGAAAATCCACCCAAATGAGAAGTGTTTCTTTTTTCTAAACCTCTCTAAAAAGGTCAAATGTCACTTGTTTTGCATCAATCTTGATACAGGGTACTTACATGTTATAGTTTGGATTCCTAAAGCTTTTATTCTACCATCCCATCATTCAAGGCTGTTTTCACTATAAGTTATGATTTCTTTTTGGACGGACACTATCATTTACAATTTTTTACCATGTTCAATCTGAATTTACTTTAAAATAAAAATAAATCTATATTGATTCTGACTTTTCTACATCCAACTCACAGGTTTATCATTACTTTGAGAAAAAAGATTATTAATTTACCCCTTTTAGAAGGGAACATATAGTAATTTGTTCTGGGAATGTAATTTTCGAGCCTGAGACCTGAAAAACAGGCTCGGGCCTTAACTGGAGCAACTGTTAGGCAAATAAATGAATAACCTAGTCTATCCGTTTGAGACACAACACTATATGACTTTCAGCACAAATCATTTTCTCTAAATAATAAATTAAAACAAAAAGGTGGCATAGTAAACTTTATTTGTATGTTTTCCATCCATCTTCTCCCGCTTATCCGTGGTCGGGTCTCGGAGGTATAGTTCCAGCAGAGAGCCCCAAACTTTCCTTTCCCCGGCCACATCAACCAGCTCTGACTGGGGGATCCCAAGGCGCTCCCAGGCCAGCGAAGAGATATAATCCCTCCACCTGGTCCTAGGTCTACCCCTTGGTCTCTTCCCAGCTGGAAAAGGGAAGGGGGGAGACTCCTGGGTGGGAGTAATCAGGGAGGGGCCCTTAGGTTTAGGGCTGGGGAGAAGGGGAGGGCTCCAAAAGGACTGTTGAGGAGACCTGCGTACTTTAGGCTTATGATAAGGGGCAACTAAAAATTACGTTCCCACAGAACTAAACTGCATTCTCAATTACGTTTAGCTAGAAACGTATTTTCTCCTACGTTACGTTCGTTATAAACGTATCTCAAATACGTTTATTTTCTACGTATCTTCTAGAAACATATTTTCTCCCACGTTATGTTCGTTATGAACGTATCTTAAATACGTTTATTTTCTACATATCTTTGCCATTTATTGTCTTGCTTATAATAATGATAATAGTCATTTATAAATATAATTTTAGAGCACACATTTGAAATCAGTAGGCGAGGCTGTAATTTCGCCAGCTGTTACTCTCATGAGCGAGGCAGAAAATAATAGTTTTTAACATGCCAAAAAGCTGCTGTGTCGTTTATTGCACCTCAAACATGAAAACAAATCCAGTTACGTGTTTCTGTACTTCCTCTAAGAAGAAAGGACAATAACAGAAGATCTCTGTGACGCCAGATGTGGTGTTGTTAATGCAATATGATATCCGAAAAACATTTCAGTTGAGGATGGCCGAAGACACTACACTACCCATAATCCCCAGCTATCGTTTGGGACTACAGTCCCGTTGACAAACCCCATGATTAATCTTCAAGCTCTGGGATTGGATGTTGGAGTGGCAGTGCGCCACGGTTACGCCGAGTGTCAAGCTCTTTGAAATGGAACGAAACCACGGCAGACTATCCAAAACCGGACTCAAACGCCCCCCGAGAACTACACATGCTGGCTATTGTGTTTCGCAACATGTTCTCTATGGCACGTCTCTACTGGGAATTGTAGTTTTAAAAGACGTTTTCGTTTTTCCAAAAATTAGAAGTTGACAGTATTAAACGGTGTACAGCCCTGGAGGTTTAGGCGATAGGAAACACATTGGTGTGTACACATTTAAAACATGTAATTACTACATGGGTAAAAATCGCTTCTATCCATAATGGGCAGCATTAATATATATTCTACTCCACTACAATTCAGAGGTTAACCTGGTATTTTTACTCCACTACATTTACTTTAGTAACTCTGCAGATTCTGATTAATAATGTGAAATATAAACAGCCCTTAAAGCAGACTTTAATTATACCTGAGTAAAATTCAGGGTAAGGTGATTGTCAAGTGCCAACAATCAGGAGAGATATTTGATAGTTGGTGCTTGAGAAGACTAAACATTTATCTGCAGATCTCTATAAAGTATATTAATTACTCGTTATTCTCTACTAATAGTTCATTAAAAACTGTATATAATTGCTATTTTGCACATCCCTTTCAAGATTTCAAGATTTCAAGATTTTCTAAGGTTTAATGGCATATCAAAAAAGGTCTTTTAATATTATTAAAGGTGGGGTAGGTAATTTTGGAGAAACCAGCTCGAGTGCGCTAGAATTTGAAAATACACAGCCGGAAAAAATCTTCCACTTCCTCACAGAGCCCCTCCACCAACACACACGAACGCGCACATGACCAATGAGGGCACGAGATAAGTTTGTGCCCAGATGGAAGGCTGACAGGCAGGTAGGCCATCCAGTTACTTTAGCCGTCTCAGATGATTGGTCGTGCTTTTTACAGCGCCACGGCTTCCACAGATGACATTTCTTTATGGATTTTTTGTCAAAGCACTTCAGATATTCATTGCTATCAGGATGTTAAGAGCATTCCATGGAATATAACAACAAGTGTATCTCGAGCCGGTTTCTGAAACTTACCCCACCTTTAAACATACTGTAGCAGAAAAACATACATTCTTGTACTCAGGAGGGGACCTTTACAGAGGATTTATAACACACTAAAAGTACTTAATTATATAGTTGGTACTAGTAGATGTACTACAACTGAGTCCAGCAGTATCAATTTCAATAACAACTAATCGTAAAATATTTTGATCACTCATCAAAGATAGCAGGAAACATGCATTATGTGCTATGGAGGGGACTTTGACAGAGGATTACTCACAAAGTACACAGTAAAAGTACTTCATTTTATTTCTGGTAGCAGTCAAACTAGTACTGAGTCCAACAGTGACAGTTTTATTAAGAACTTAAGGTAACAAATATTTGTATCGCTCATCACATATAGCAGGGATGAAGAGCTGCAGATTTGAAAAAACTAAAGCGAGTTAGGGTTTACCCCTGAACACTAACCCTGAATTTACTCTGACACAGCAACATCTAAATTGATTCAGACACTTCTACAGCCAACTCACAGGTGTATCATTGCTTTGATAAAAAAGGTTATTCATATACCCCTTTTGGAAGTGAAGATATACTCATTCATTCTGGGCATGTCATTTTCGAGGAGTTAGGGTTAGGGCCCAGGCCTCAAGAGGTTAAATCTCCTAAGAATGTTGTTCATTTTAGACATAGGCTCATTATATTTACAGCCCTTAATAACATTCATTTTCTGGGCTCGATGTGTGTCTTGGCCTTTTTCGTTGGGATGGTTCAATTCACCTTGTTTTCCCTTGTGTATAATATTATCACCGTTCCTTCAACAGGATACTTTAGTGCTTCAAAGCAAGTGTACACACATACTGAAAGATTGACAATAAAGTTGACTTTGACTTTGATATCATTTTTCCTTCTGGCAATTGCATTTACCCTTCAAACATCATAAAGTGGTGTTACAGTAATATGTGCAGATTATCCTGCTGAACTAAACATGTAAGTAAACATTTGTTAACGACAGAGATTATTTCTCCCATAAATGGAAACCCAATAGAGAAAAGTAAGTAAATGTAGCAGGTATTGGATGAAGAGTAAAATAATAGTTTCTTTAAATGGACATACTGTATACTCTCGTTAAGTACCTTGTAATTGAGTACAGCACTTTAGTAAATGTTCTTTGTTACTGTCCACCACTGGCTTTGATAATATGTTGGGTGTATCGGTTTAAATCTATGAAATTAATTTGATTTAGATTTTTAGTCAAAATGAAGATCGCTGCCTTCAATGTCCAGACACTGGGATGGGATAAAGTCAACAACCAGGACGTACGGGATAATATCATAAAGGTAACTCACCGTGCTGAAGCACACAAGTTTGTTCAGTGTAATATTTCAGTTAATGTTTTTGTACATGACGAGAAAATTAAAGGAAAGGAGCAGTTTTTTATGCATTGATAAAACAATTAAAAAAGTTCTGTGCTTTCTTTTCTCTGTGGTTGTGTTTTGCAGATCATGTCTCAGTACAGCGTGGTGCTGCTGGTGGAGGTGATGGATGTGAGTGGTGAGGCCATGAAACTGCTCCGCCAACACCTTAATGAATATGGGTGAGTTCTCCACACATAGAAGCATGCACATTAATTTAAAGAGTCCTCTCCTGCTGATGTGCAGGTGTATATCAGTATGTAGTGTCTCTACTTTAAAGAGTCCTCTCCTGCTGATGTTCAGGTGTATATCAGTATGTAGTGTCTCTACTTTAAAGAGTCCTCTCCTGCTGATGTTCAGCTGTATATCAGTATGTAGTGTCTCTACTTTAAAGAGTCCTCTCCTGCTGATGTTCAGGTGTATATCAGTATGTAGTGTCTCTACTTTAAAGAGTCCTCTCCTGCTGATGTTCAGGTGTATATCAGTATATAGTGTCTCTACTTTAAAGAGTCCTCTCCTGCTGATGTTCAGGTGTATATCAGTATGTAGTGTCTCTACTTTAAAGAGTCCTCTCCTGCTGATGTTCAGGTATATATCAGTATGTAGTGTCTCTACTTTAAAGAGTCCTCTCCTGCTGATGTTCAGCTGTATATCAGTATGTAGTGTCTCTACTTTAAAGAGTCCTCTCCTGCTGATGTTCAGGTGTATATCAGTATGTAGTGTCTCTACTTTAAAGAGTCCTCTCCTGCTGATGTTCAGGTGTACATCAGTATGTAGTGTCTCTACTTTAAAGAGTCCTCTCCTGCTGATGTTCAGGTGTATATCAGTATGTAGTGTCTCTACTTTAAAGAGTCCTCTCCTGCTGATGTTCAGCTGTATATCAGTATGTAGTGTCTCTACTTTAAAGAGTCCTCTCCTGCTGATGTTCAGGTGTATATCAGTATGTAGTGTCTCTACTTTAAAGAGTCATCTCCTGCTGATGTTCAGGTGTATATCAGTATGTAGTGTCTCTACTTTAAAGAGTCCTCTCCTGCTGATGTTCAGGTGTATATCAGTATGTAGTGTCTCTACTTTAAAGAGTCCTCTCCTGCTGATGTTCAGCTGTATATCAGTATGTAGTGTCTCTACTTTAAAGAGTCCTCTCCTGCTGATGTTCAGCTGTATATCAGTATGTAGTGTCTCTACTTTAAAGAGTCCTCTCCTGCTGATGTTCAGGTGTATATCAGTATGTAGTGTCTCTACTTTAAAGAGTCCTCTCCTGCTGATGTTCAGGTGTACATCAGTATGTAGTGTCTCTACTTTAAAGAGTCCTCTCCTGCTGATGTTCAGGTGTATATCAGTATGTAGTGTCTCTACTTTAAAGAGTCCTCTCCTGCTGATGTTCAGGTGTATATCAGTATGTAGTGTCTCTACTTTAAAGAGTCCTCTCCTGCTGATGTTCAGGTGTATATCAGTATGTAGTGTCTCTACATGTCTCCATGCTTTAATGTTCAAAAAGCTCTTTATTTTTCTCATACTGCCTGTGCTGCAGCACCTCTTTTCACCCTCTGTCTGAAACCAGAGCCCAGTCTGCTCTGTCAATAAGATTGTCCTTTATGTGGCTAAAAACTAATGCAATCTTATGGGGCATCTAAAATGAAACAAAAACAGAAATTGATGACTGTGAGAGATAATCAGTTGTTTTTGCTTTCTGACAGAGATAACAGAAGTAATCGGTACCTCATGAAGCCCAGTGAATCTCTGGGACCGGAGGGTCACAAGGAGAAGTTTGTCTACTTCTACAGGTCAGAAACACAAGTACAGCCAAACCAGGACAATCCTATGTGTGGTTTAAAGACCTTTTAGGGCAACAGAGACAGACTTGAAATGGGGAGTGATGACACACGGCAAATGGTCTTCGAACTGGATTCAGACCAAGCCTCAGTATACATCTACCAATTGTGCTTTACGTTATGTCTCACAGGAATTAAAATATGTCTTAAATTGGTAACAGCCACATTCAATCGGATACTTATCATTTAAAAACTGTGTGGAATATCAAAGACAAAAGAAAGTTATCAATATTTTGAACCAGTAAGCTGTGACACATTACATTACTCTTCATTGAGATGCTTGACTTCAATCTTTTAAGTTCTATAATCTATAAGACCCAGAACATCATAGGCTTTACAAATCATCACAGTGTGCTGCTTGCCCAAGGCTTGAGATATCTCACTAACTAATGAAAATACATGAATAAACAAACAAAACATAACATGTGTGCTTATAAGCTTTATAATACAGAACATGTTTGTGGCTTTGTGTTCCAGAAAGAAAGAAGTGAAGATATTAGACTCCTACCAGTACGGAGACATTGATGAAGAAGATGAAGATGATGACGAAGATGAAGATGACGAAGATGATGAAGATGACGAAGATGACGGAGATGATGAAGATGACGATGATGACGATGATGAAGATGTGATCTCCAGACAGCCTTTCGTTGTCCGTCTCAATTGTCGAAACACAGGTATTTGTGTGTGTTTGTGTGTGTTTTAGTTTTTTAGAATTTCATTGTGAGGATCAATTTGGGTTTTGGGTTTTGTGTGTTGTGCGGGCCTTTATGGATTATGAGGACATTTTGGCCTGTTCAATATATTGGTACAGCCCTTCAATGGACTGTTTGAATGTTAAAGCACTTCTTTAGTTAAAATAGGGGTTATAGGTTAGGCAAAAATGTTTTGTTTATGTAGGTCCTCACAGGTGTGTTTATGTGTGTTTGCATATGTCTTGCATGGCTATCATTGTGAGGACCACTTGGAGTTTTAGGTCGCATTCACACCAGCCTTATTTAGTCCGGTGGAATCGAACCCTGGTGCGTTTCACCGCTTGGTGCGGTTTGTTTGGGTGGGTGTGAGCGCAGTCTGAGACCTCTGATGTGAACTAAACAACCTAAAAGAGGAAATCTCAGACCGCTTGGTAGTGAACTCTGGAGCGGTTCATCTCTGGTGTGAACGCAGTCTGCACCAAAACATAGGAAGCGTGGTATTTACGAGTCACAAGAACGCGGATTTCTTCTAAATCTTTTGCGAAAGAGTGAAGCAGAATGAAGTGTTGAACAGTGTCGTGTAAAGTTAAAATGCTCCGTCAACTATACATAAAAGTCAGAGTCACCTGTCGTCGGTGAAACCTCCTCCTGACTGCAGAACGTCTCTCAGTGTTATAATGTTTTTTTAACGGACGTTGTCTGATTGTATAATCATATGCGGGCCGCTCGAGTCTGTTGATCTCCAGATTCACAGCAGTATTAAAATAACCTGTCGTCTGATGTGCACCAATCTTGCACTAATGCACATTCTCAAAATATTGAAGTGACTGGTCTTAATGTGTGCACATTTGTCAGTAGTAGGGGACTTGAACCGGCGAACATTATTAAAATCACTTCAACTGTTAAAAAAGCAATTAAAAGTAATAGTAAAATAATAACTACCCATTTTAAATGGGTATATTTAAAGACTTAAAAGTATTGAAATAATTGAAAGATGTCAGATCAGATGAAAGAAAGTTGCACAATTTGGGGTCAATTTAGTGGAGCAGTAGTGACCACCAATGAGAAATGGTTGAATGAGTACTTATTTTGGATTACATTTGAAATGGTTTCCCCATGATATAGATGAAGAACATGAACACATTAAAACTAAAAGAAGCATTTTTAAATCAATCCTGAGGCAAAGATGCATTTACAAAATGGGGCTGCATGAGATACACATTTTAGTCTTAACTCTGTCACAGTATTTGAGTAAGGTATATTTAGTTGTATGCATTTGAATAAATGTAATCATACATCTTCAAAGTAATAGTTGATGAACTTGAAATGTACAAACCCTGAGCAAAACATACATGCTGTAAAAGTGTCACAAACTTGGAAACACAGGGAAAAGGACTCAAATGCACGACCCGGGAGACAGAGGTAAAGTATAAGTAATATACTTTATTTCCAAAAAAGGCACAAAGAAAATCGCTCACTGCGTGAGGAACAACAACGTACACAATAAACGAGAGCATAAATCAGGCTTGAGACAAGGTGAGTAATCGCAGGCACGCTGACTACTTGCAAAGGGACCAGGACAAGACGAACTGACACAAAACAACGGGAGACTGGGGAATTTAAACAAGAGGTAACTGGGTACAGGTGGAAACAATCAGGGGTGGGGCTGGTGCTGATGAGAGCGGGAGACACACACAAGGGTAGGGAGTCAAGGAACCTGGAATGAAGCATAACAGGTGAGTGACAAAATAAAACAGGAAGTGGGAGACAATACGAACATTAACCAAACAAAAACATGACTAAACTCAACACTTTTGACGGAACACAACAAAAAGCAGCTACAGTATGACTACACGAGTAGCTGTTACTCACCTCAAACTTCCAGTGCACATTTCTTATATTGACAAATCCAATGGCTCCATCATATTTATCAAATGTGACCTGAAAAAAATGAGGGAATATGAAAACACAAGTGTTATTTTCTATAATATACAGGTGCAAAACAATAATTTCATTTACTGTACACAGTATTCATTGTTTTTTAAATGTATTGGATAAAAACAACACAAATGGCTCCAAAAACTACATACAAGATTATAATAACGCTGGAAGTTGCCTGTAGACAGAGTTCAGTCTCCTTTCTCAAGCCTACAAAACTAAAGGGATGAAAATACTTTGAATAATCAGTTTCACTCACATTTTTTAGCTCTTGCCTGGCCCTCTGCTCTCGTGTGCCGTGTAGGATTACACCCATGGTGTAGTGATCCAGGAGGTACAGTATAGACGGCCAGCATTATACTTCAGGTTGAGGATGCCTCTAATGTAACATTCTATTACCTTTTGGATAAATATTCTTATTATTGATTGTGTATTGATAAACAGTATTTCGATCTCTCTGTCTGTACACACAAACTGAACGATTTACAATAAAGTTGACTTTTATTTGATCAGAGAAGCGGACTATTAGGCGTGAATGCGACCTAAGTTGTGAGGTCCTAACTTTAGGAAAGACATAAATGGACTGTATAAAGATAAATACTTTTTTATAAATTAGACTTAGGTTGCGATAACGGCCAGGGAATTATGTGTGTGTGTGTGTGTGTGTGTGTGTGTGTGTGTGTGTGTGTGTGTGTGTGTGTTTGCCTCCAGTTGCGCAGAATCTGGTGTTGATCCCGGTCCACACCGCACCAAATAACGCAGAGGCGGAGCTGAACGCTCTTCATGACGTGGTTGAAGATGTGAAGGAAAAATGGCCGAATGATGTAAGTGTTTAAAATATTATTGATGGGTTTGAGAGAAAAACTCATGTAACTAATTTCTCATGTAAGCAAACTTGTTTAAGCTTTGAACACCTTCAGTATGAATGAACTAAAAACAAATGAACAAAATGTGTTTTTCTATTCTGAGTTTGGTTGTGTTCTTTCTTCTGCAGAACATTATGATTTTGGGAGACTTTAATGCCGATGGAGATTATCTCTCCATGGAGCAGAAGAGAACGCTCTGTATCTCCTCGGCCCATTATCATTGGCTGATAGACGATAATGTCAAAACCACGACTTGTAACAATAATGACTACACCTACGACAGGTAATACAGGTTTCATTGTTACAGTTCAACCAAAGCATTTCTTGTGTTTGTTTAAAAAAAAAAAAATGGTGCTGCATTTCCAAATAACAGGATCGTGGTTTACGGAGAGAGGATGCTGGAGGCCATCGTCCCCAACTCAGCCATCGCCTACAACTTCAAGAGAGAGTTGAACTTGACACAAGAAGAAGTGAGACTCATGTTTGGGGGTATCGTTGGTACGATGAGATGTTACCCCCCCCCGGTCTCCCCTACTGTAACACTGAAACCTGCTGAAGTGACACAGCCCAACCCATTACCAGTTTAGACACATATATGTACATTTTTCCGGTTTAGCACTAACAGCATCATAAACAATACATTTTATTTGGGATTATTAACAGCTACATTACCGAAGCCCACCGGCTGGTTGGAAAGAATACTAAAGCACATGAGGATAGTTTTATAAAAACTGCCAGAAGGGTGATTTAGCCAGGACTGTTAGCTATCAACCTAACAAGCTGGCCAACGAACAATAGCTATCTATCAAACTAGCTAACTAGCAAGGGTTAGCTATTTGTGGCTCGCATGACTTTATTTACTATTATTTAATATCCTACGGTTAGACTTGCAGTGCGAACTTGTGTCTACAGTTCTGGCAGTGAGAGTCATTTGAAAAACACTCTTGACTTTTATTAAGCTGACCGACCTCTGTCAAATAGCCAGCAGCTGCTCACAGCTGGAAACATCTTTTAAATTCCCAAATATGCGTTGTTTGGATAAACTAATCACATGAAGGTTATCTAAATGGTTAGTTTCTTACCCGGAAAACTGTTACAACTTAATAACAGCCATTCAAAAGCTTTAAACACTGTTTCTTTGTTAAACAAATGTTGATGAAGCTGGCAACCCTTTTCCAAGTAATAGCGCACATGCTCTAACCGGAAGAACAAACACAAAATAAAGCAATGTGGAAACACCCCAGAGCAGGCAAAGCATGAGGTGAATTATTGACACTATTAAATGTTATTTTCTGTCCCAGGCTCTGAGTGTCAGTGATCACTACCCTGTGGAGGTGGAGCTGGAGGAGAAGCAGGAGGTGGAGCCGGAGGTGGAGCAGATGGAGGAGCAGATGAGGAAGCTAAAGCTGAAGCAGAAAGCTCAGAGAAAAAGGAATCCAGAGAAACCCTCGACTGGAGGAAGACCTCAGGGTAAAGATGTCTCTTGCTTCATCAACATCAGTGACACATATTAGACATTGGAGTGTATTTAGTTGTGTTTTTATGGCTCTTGCTGCATCATGAATCTCACATTAACAATATCATTACATTTCTATTGAACTGATGACTTACAGGAGCCCAGAAGAAGAAGATCGGGCCGGCAGCCACAAAGGGGAAAGGAGTGTAAACCAAGAGAAGAGGAACCGATCTTCAATATGTTATTATCTTAAAGTAGTTTTAGTTATTAGCTTTTAGTGATGAGTGCTATTTAAGTGCAGTGGCGTTTTTATATGTAAAAAAGTGGTGGGGCACGAACAACTTAGATGTTTATATATAAGCTTTTGGTGCTTTTTTAAATACGTAAACAAATAGCTGTAGGCTATCCATGGTCCCGATAGAGAGGGGGGGGACCTTGAATGAAGAACTAGGAGCAACACTGTCAGCACATACATTTACGTACTGTACACAGCGTGGGGTCATATTGCCATGCACCTTAATACATGAAGTAAAGGGCACCATCACAAAGCAATACTTAACAATAACAACAACCGTAATGTTTCAGCATTAAAACACCATAGACTATAAATATAAGGAAAACACAGACACTCATCGCCGAGATCACAATATCAATCGATCCAGCAGAGCAATAGCCTATAGCACATGTGTCAAACTCAAGGCCCGGGGGCCAAATCAGGCCCTTGGTGGATTTAATTTCGGCCCGCAGGAACATGTCTAATTCCTATTAGATCTGGCCCGCCGGTATATTGCACGCACACCTTCCCTCCATCCTGAGGGTCTCCTCCGCTCAGAGCCTGAGCCCAAACATTGATGACCCTGCACCCAAGATGAGACGCCAAGTATCTGAACTAGCATCACAGAGCAGCACACTGAGTTCAATGGATGCTTCCTTCTGCACTTTCTCTCTCAGGACAGCAGGGCATGTTTGGTTAGTTCTTTGAGGGAATAGTTTTGTTGAAGCTGTTGTTGGCCTGTGGGAAAATGTACTCATAAGAAATGACTCTGAAAAGCTGCAGATAGAGCCATAAGAAATGAATGCAACTGATTATTTAATGTTTAATGTTGTTTTTATCGGCAATCATTTAAGCTTTGTTAGTTCCAGGTTTAATATGTGCAATAAGTTCATTTCAATAAGTTCTGCAATAAACATTGAACCAGTCCGGCCCTCCACTAGTACCCATCCATCCATCCATCTTCTCCCGCTTATCCGTGGTCGGGTCGCGGGGGTAGCAGTTCCAGCAGAGAGCCCCAAAATGTCTTTTCCCTGGCGACATCAACCAGCTCTGACTGGGGGATCCCAAGGCGCTCCCAGGCCAGCGAAGAGATATAATCCCTCCATCTGGTCCTAGGTCTACCCCTTGGTCTCTTCCCAGCTGGACGTGCCTGGAACACCTCCCTAGGGAGGCGCCCAGGTGGCATCCTAACTAGGTGCCCGAACCACCTCAACTGGCTCCTTTCGACGCGAAGGAGGAGCGGCTCAATTCCGAGTCCCTCCCTGATGACCGAACTTCTCACCTTATCCCTAAGGGAGACACCAGCCACCCTGCGGAGAAAACCCATCTCGGCCGCTTGTATCCGCGACACTAGACATTAGACACTAATCAGAAGAACGCAGTCTAAAACAGCAATGTAGAGATGAACAAGACGACTAAACATGATCTTTAAATATATTTTAACATATATTTCATACACGTTTTTGTAATTATTATTTTAATTAATTTTTGCTGACAGTAGGTGGGGCCCTAATGACGAGTTGCCACTGGTTAAGTGTATGAACAGAATAGAGCTTGTATTGCTTCTTGATGTTTTTTATGCAACTTCAAGTTTGGCAACAGAACAGTTTTCAGAAATGGAGGACGCATTTTGTTAAATGAAAAATATTTTGACCTAAATTCCTAGAATCTAAATGTTTGTCAAATGAGGTAGAAGGTGAAGACGTCATTTCAGGATTTTTAATCAAAGTATTTTAACTATTTGGTGGGAAAAACAAGTTGTGTGGTTAGTTTGTTTTTCTGTTGCTGTGTGACTTCGGTTAGTTCGGATTCAGCAAAAACAAACAAATAAAGTATCTGACAACTATCCTCAAGGTAAAGCACCTAAATGATTCTAAATATAGAATATATTTGTTTAATTGGCTAAAATACATTTAGCAGACACATCTACAGCAATATGTTTCTGAGCCAAACTGACGAGGATAAGTTCCTCATATCACTTCAATATAACCAAACTATCCATTTAAACTATGTTCACAGACGCATGGCATATTACAGTATATCACTGCTTTTTTACTAACAATGCTTTTTGTTATCTGCAATAAAAAATAATCATGAAATTATATGTTGTGCTTTCTGTGTCATTATAAACTCCATGAATAATTGTATTAGGTTAATGTAGTCATGCAGTTTCTTTTTTGGAGTTTTTTAACAGCTGTTAACAAGACATTTGGTTAAATTAATACAAGTTTAAAAATGTTGTATCCATATTGAACTCCTACATGTTGTAAAGATTCTGCTGATATCACAATGTGTGTTTCGGTTCCCACATCATATTATTTTGTATCACTTGTAAAGACACGGCATGAACAGGTGCGCTATTTGTGAAAGAAAAACATACAGATGGTGATGAGCTGCACGAGCTAACCAAAGTCATTACGGGTTTGTACAGAATCTCTGTCTGTCAGAATGATCCGATGAATAGTAATAGTAGTACATGTCCTGATGTTAACAGGGGGCCTCACCTGAATCGCAAACCCCCCCGTCGAACCGCCCCTGTCGGGGATAATACAGTTTATGGATAAAAACATGCTGATCTACCACTTTATATCAAAGGAGATGCTAACATCTCCTGAACCAGGAACACTGATGGAATCCTGGAGTAGACTACAACTCCCATGATGCAACATCGCACAAATCTGTTCCCGAAAACTATTTAGGAAGTCAATTTGGGACTGGAAGTTGTATATCCTTAATAACATTTCCCTTTTTAAACAATTTGTCAAAGTAAACTTACATAAAGACAACCCGATGCCATTTGATGTTTTCCTCTGCTGATCCATTTACCACTTCCTCTTCTATTTAAAATGTTCCCGCTCATTTCTTGTCCTGATAGCAGCAGGGCTCCCGGGAGAGCGTTGACTCATTCTCAATATCCACATGTGATATAAGGACGTTAACACTCCACAGCAAGTCCTGAATTCAGAGCCTTATTTTAAGAGTGTCACGATATTCATGTCATTTCACGTTTTTTATGTCTAGGTTTGGGTGTTTTGCTGTTCTCCCTGTCATGTTTTCCTCCTTGTTTCTTGTCTGGTCCTTACCCTGTGTTTTTCCTCCCTGTCGTTAGTTTCCCTGGTGTGTCTAGTTGTCTGATTGTGTTCACCTGTGGCCCTTGTGTTTCTCCTCCCCTGCCCGGCTGTTTCTCGTCTTGTGATTACCCCTCCCTGTATTTAGTCTTGTCTCTTCCTGTGTTCAGTGTCGGTTCGTCTTTTGTTTGTGACTGTGTTCACTGTGGAGTGTTTTGTTTGTCCATGTTAGATATTAGCCCTTGAAATAAAGGTATTATCAGTGTTTTCTGCATTTGGGTCCTACCTGCTTCACTCCTCGTATCAAGAGGCTCTATTCTTCTTTTGGGGGTTTTCCATTTCCTGTATATTCTATATGTTTGTGTGCATGTAAATGGTCTGCAATGGCTTATAACCCTGTGTCCTAAAACAAGGGAAATGCTTTTTTCACCTCGTCTGGAAGTCAATGGTTTTCTGAATGTTTTTTTGGTTGTTATCCTGAAATAAGGTCTGTGGTTGACACAAACTGAAGAGATGTTTACTTAAAATCAGTAAATATCCAGTGTCTGTTGATTGTGTATTTATAGGATATTCATATTTTATACATATCTTTATATATATTTGTATTTTGTATTCGGGATTGTGGGAAATGGTATTTCGATCTCTCAGTCTGTTCACACTCAACAACTTTTTGTTATGACCGGCTCGTAGGCCACAACGGAAAGATAACAAAACGTACACGAGTTTCCAAAAGCCACGGCACATTTATTGCGGTTGTTAAATATAATGCACAAAATAGATGGACGAGGGGAGAGGATCGCCGTGTTCCTCCTCATGCGGCCGGCTTGGAGAGAGTCAGGGGCCCCTGTGACTCCGGGCAGCTGGGCTTAATAGCACCTCGGCGCCGGCCAGGTGTCCGCGATCGAGCTGATTGGCCTCTTCAGCTCCACCCCACCGTAACACCTGTAACACACCTTGCACACAGGCTCTGGGGCCGTCACAGCCCCCCCCATAAAATCAGGGTCCCCATCGGAACCCTGGTACCAACACACAAACGGAAACACCCCACAAAGAACATGGCGCCCACAACAACGAAGAACAACAAACAAGTCACTGACTAGTTCAGCTAACTATAACTAAACGCGTTACATTTTTCTTCCCCTTTTTTTTCCTTCTTTTTTTTCTTTCCCGCCATGCTCCGGAACCTGGAAGACACCCCGACTGGTAAACCGGTTCGCCAGCAAATTACGCGACACTCTCCTGAAGCGAATACCCCTGAGCACGACCTCTCACCTCACCACCACGAAGAACACTCTCCCTTAGACCCTCCAGAGACGCATCAGGACGCTGTTCCTCCACCAGCTCAGCGTGAGAAACCGACCAGGGAATCTCGAGACACGTCACGCCATGCTGCGGTGAGGCCCCATCGATTTCAGCTGTGCTCATGACCTCTGTCTGCCCACGTTTCATTCCCCGTGTCACAGCGCCTGCTTTAAACACGTCAGGGTACTCAGTTTCGCTCTTGTCTGGCTTAATATTAACCAGGGGCACTGGCGCCATAATAGCTGGAGGTGCCCCATCAGCCCACACACGACTACCTGCAATGTCGTTACCCAGTATCATCGTGACCCCATCTATGGGCAGAGCGGGCCGCACGCCAACCGCTACTTCACCCTGAAACAGATCCGAACACAGCATCATTTTATGGAGAGGCACCCGAAGAACATTTAATCCGATTCCAAGTGTCGGAATGAACAACCCCATGTATGTGTCTTCTGAAAATAGTAAGGCAGAGGCCAAAATGAACGAATCAAATGATCCCGTGTCTCGTAATATTTTTACCCGCACCTTCTCATCGTTCCCCACCAGAGAAACAAAACCTTCAGTCATGAACGGCAAATAAGACTGTAGTTCTGGGCTATACCCCTGTGGTTTCAACTCACCGTCTAAACGCCCAGTCACCTGCTCAGCGACAGGTGCCACGAATATTGCTGGCCTGGGACTACCACTAGTCCCTTCCTGCTCAGCTTTAGCCCTAAATGCATTGCAGTCTTTTCTCCAGTGCCCTCGCTCATGACAGTAATGACACACATTGTCAGGCTCACGTGCACCACGTATACCCACTGTCCTGCCCAGCAGGTCTCACTGGACGACCAGACCACGCTCCCACACCCAAGGAATTTCCACCGTGACTGCCTTGTATGGCAGCACCTCCACCAACGTGTGTCAAAACATAGTCATCTGCTAATGCAGCAGCTTCAGCAGCTGTCCTGACTGCGTGCTC